ATATATATATATATAGTCAACGTGGTTATGCATTGAGTAAATAGGAAAACTATACTAGGGCAAGAGAAGAATAATGATCCTAAAATAGAATTTATTTTTTATAGAAAAATATTTCTAGCAATCATAAGAAACTTTCTTGCCAAAAATGTTGATGAAGCCAAAAGATAACATTAAAATAAATACTACATGATAAAGTAAGAAAATGATGTATTAAATCAAATTACTCACAGGAGAACCATCACTCCAAGTAAAGCCCTCGGAAGGACTTCCATATGTCAGCCCCAACCAAAACAGTTCATGGTAGCTTCCACTAACCCTGCAAGTTACAAGACGTACAGAAAGCTTATACTATGGCATGAAACAAGTTTGGTTACCTATGAGGATTCATCAAAACTGAAGGTTACTCCCGAAACATAAATTAGTACACGAGTAAATGCAATGATTAAATGGAAGCATTATGCAAGAAATGTATATTTGGTACAACCCATAAATATCCTGAAAACAAGCCACTGCTTGAGAATGCGTAACTGTAAAGCAGTGAAAGATAGTCATTCACTCCTTCATTTAACAATATGTATTGAGTGTCTTGTACTTTTATAGAGCCATTCATCATGGGATTTATACCTATAATAGTAAATCATTTGGAAGTGAAACTAGATTTAAAAGGGCCTGTGGATTCGGGACACACTGTATGGTCTCAAAGCTGCACCATGAGCAAACAGTTTTGGAAATATATGAATTGTCTCAACAGCATTAACATCAAATAGGTTTTTTAAAAAAGAGTATTCTATAGAAAAGATACTTACGCTATCAATCGCCAGATTGCTTGCTGGTCCTCTTTGTTATTGATACTCGCTAGATCCCCACCCAGAGCTCTGCAGAAATCTCGAGATTCAAACCATGTTTTCTTCTCATGTTTTCCTTTTGTAAACAGCTAAAGATGATATGGTTTCATAAGTTATTTTATACTTCGTAGCTCATCAAATCAAGAGAAATCATTATTTACTTCTGAAGAGATTTCAATGATAGGAAAGCAAGTCATAGCAATGGCCCAAAACGATGTAATTCCCTCAGTTAAAAATCAATTTATTGCAGCTGAAACTGATTGGATTTCATTAACCAATGTCACTATAAAAAATAATTATAATAAATAAATTAATTAAAAATGAAAAAAATTAATCAATTTATGAGTACATATTTGGGTAACAAAATTTGGAAGATGATTTTGTTGAGAAAACCCTAGAAAATAAGATTATTTGATAGCACCAGAGAAATTAGATTAAAATCTTAGAAGTCTTAAGCATATGGATTAAGCATACAGCTCATTGTAGAAGACAAGATTAATTTGGTTAAGTATGACAAGTGGCATTGAGATAGAAAAAAAAATGAAAGAAACTTTTGATACAGAGTAAGTAATCATGACTAAAGAAAATTTTAAGGACAATAACCTCTCTAAGATTGTGCCACAGACTGTTACCCCGTTTAGCTTAAACAATGACTAACACTTCATTGGCAGTGTCTTTCAAAACTGCCTTGTCTTCTTTTCTTATGAATGCATATTTTTCCAATTATTGGAGCACATGCTAAAACAGACACTAATCTGGCAGAGCATCTAAAAAGATGGGTTATAAGCTAAACTCAATTTAATATGTTAATAATTTAGGGAATATGTCATATTATCCAGAAGACTGCAGTGAAATAGAACCCACAATGACAGTCTGGGGAACACCTATCAGTATGCAAACAGTATGGGAGTTCACTGTCTCCACCAACTTTTATAATTTTTATTCATTATTTCTGAGTCATGGCCCCATCAGCCAAAGCTTGTGGAAAAAGGGATTTGCTTCTAATGGACTATGGCTGCCCACCTGTCATCAAGCAACCCAAGGTGACCTTCACGTGACCCTAACTTGAGCTATCTGGACAAAGGTGTCTTGAACAAGTTTCTACATCAGTAACCCCAAGACTCCTGTGAGTACCTTGACTTGCTAGACTGTGATATGATTTTATTTTCTTAAATCAATTTACTATCAGTTGAATTTTATTAATAATTCTAACATCTTAATCTATACTAAAATGGTCTGTATATTCCCAAATAAACTGTACTCCCAAGCACTTCTAAAACCATGAACTTATGTGGGTTTATTGAATATCACCTGGATAACATCTTCTGAAACCTTGTTTTACTTCCTAGCTCTGGAGAATTCTGCTGTTTCTTTCAAAGTCCTGCAACAAATCCCCAAAGCCTATCACCCTCAGAGGAATGGCTATTTATAGGATAAACCTGGCCTTTCTGTAGAACTCAAAAGTACTCGGAGGCAACAATAAATTCCTGATTTGCTTTGTGTTGGTCTTTTATAAAATCCTCTCTTCTCTAAGTTCAATACATTCCTTTCGCTAGAAATTACGCTTCTAGCCCAGACTGGCTATTCTGGATTGAACAGTTCGTCAGGCTCTATTGCTGCTAAGGGGAGTTTTACACCCAACTTGTTTATCACACATCAACTTTGAGATTAAGCCACCTCATTCAGATACACATTAGTAATTCAAGTTCTTCATTAACCTTGCTGGAAGGCATGCCATAGCCATATGCTTCTGAAGTGATTGAATAACAGAGCTCCTAAGACCAGGACTTTCAGGGAATAGTATTATTAAGCAACAGATCAGTACATTTTTGTATTTGGCTAAATCTCACCTTCTCTAGAAAAGATATGACTGACAAGATGGGGAAAAAAAGGCCCAATGCTGAATTCGTTGGTGTTTTTGTTTGTTTATTTGTTTGGATGAACTTGATTGCATTAGGAGAAAATGGATGGTCCAGCCTAGGACTATATAAAATAATAGCAGAATATCACATTGTCACTTAAAGAGCACTGAATGGCCAGTTGCCCCTACTTAGCAGTACCTTCCATTAAGCCTAATAATCAGAGCCTAAATCAGAACAATGGAGCATTATCTCAAGGATACCCATGTGGCATTATTGCAGATTTGTTTATCAGGTCCATTAACTAAAAGCTTGGGCTCTAAGAAAAGAGTGAAAAAGAGACGTAGAGAGAATGAGGGGAAGAAGAAATTTTCAATATGATGAAAAGAAATGTGAGCTCAGACTAGGGCCGGATAGCCTGGGAGAGCGGGGACATACAGAGCAGCAGGTGTTGAATGCAAAGCATGCAAAGCATGAGAAGAAAGGCTGCTGTGATCTATATTTGTGTTGTCCATTATGTTTGTTGGTCTAAATGCAACGAGTCACTAGTATCCACCCAAGGAGAGCTCTGTACCCCTTCCCGATCAATAAAAGCAGAATTTCTACACGGGGAGCCCGGGCATAGCAGGTTTTGGTTTAGTTGTTTTAATTCCTTAGCTAAAGCACAGTCCACATTCTCTACTAGCTTAGCGATGGTGACTTACCTTGAAACACAAGCTTGTTTTAGTGGAGGAGCCCCAATCCTCTGGACATTTGGGTTCGGGCGTTGTTGTGGGCTCTGGTGGGCGAGTTACTCCTTCTGCCCAGTGTTTGCACACAAATTTTGCCTTTTCTTCACATCTCAGAACATCCCACAGGCCCCCTGCAACCCCAGTTCTCATGGCAACACACCCTGCTTTTCGCCCTGCATTAAATACATAGAGTTCACTCAATAGGTGCTACTGAAGGCTGCCCATATGCACAGGAGCGCATTCAAACCTGAGGGTCAAACTGTGTGGTCAAATCTACACGCGATGCAAAATTCCTGTTTAAACCATTATCCGCCTTTGATTTGTGTAGCCTATGTCCCCAGCCAAATTATGATCTCAAAGATCAGGGTTTTGATAAATTTTTGCATTTCTAACATCTGGCGGAGGGCCCCCCATTTGATATTAAATGATACAACGATTTTAGTATAATAAAATCTACCATAACGGCAAAAATAGTAGTTGAACATTTCTCTCTTTTTTTTTAAAAAAAATTAAGATTCTTTTTTCCCACCTCCTAGGGTGCATATAGGTCCCCCAAAACAGAAGTTCTTCACAGACTCCAATAAGTGAGATAGATACACATGAACTAAAGATTTTAGTTTAGTTAATCACTCTGAACCTACTGACTCATTTTAAAATGCCAATACCTCTACCTATTTACAGGATTGTAATAAATTTTTTCATGGATAAAAAAGTACGTAAAATAAACTAAGGACTCTACTAAGCTTAATAGTTTATAATTCTGTTTTACAGTCATGATTATTTCCAAATAGTAATTAATTAAGATGGAGCTTTGAAAACATTAAGATTCCTTGCTGCTAAGATGAGGTCATTTTTTATTATTATTCCTTTAAAGGACAGTAGGTGTTTAGAGAAACTCTCAAAGTTCTGAGGAGGTACATTTTTTCCAAAATATTTTCATTATGATCCTTGATTTCTTCTCATTCCTGTTTCTTCTCTTTGTATTTTCTAAGGATATTTCCTGATTAATCTCTCAGAATCCTACTGCTGAATGAACAACACAAACAAAATTAAGGAGTTTGTCCTAGACAGTAAGAATCATCACTTCTACCAATGTTTTTTTAAAGTGTGCACTTAGCTCTAAATATATTGCCTAGTCATTTAAAAATGAACTGAAATCTTACTGTTTTTCAGAACATTCAATAATTAAATAAGAATCGTACCATCAAAATTACCGATCTGTTTTCCTTATCAAGAGCTGAGAATACAAATTAAAAGAACTCCTGAAGATTTAGATTTGTTAGGTGAAGTAGCAAATTCATACACTTAAGTTATTATCCCTTCTTTAGCTTTTTGCCCAAACACAATGAAACATTTGCTATAACGAATGTTGAATTTCCTGGTGGTTGTCACACTGAATAATATCATGTGCTATGATACCGTGTATACAGAAGGCAAAGAATCTTTCAGAGGCTATTTCAGAAATGACTTACTAAGGAAGCAAATAAAAATTTATAGGGAGACATGGTGATGTTAATGCAAATAGCACAGATTTGGGAATTACACAGATTAGTCTAAATCCATAGTCGGACACTTTCCACTCATAGAAATATTTCTGATTCCCTGTTTCCACATATTTAAAATGAAGATACTTAAACTTACCTTGCAGATTTCTTATAAGGATAAAACAAAATCCAGCACATATAAAGGACTCAACAAGGTAGCACATACACGATATAGAAATAATGAGTTCCACGTAAGCACTGTCTCTCGCTCCACTAACTCAAGCACAGTAATATTTCCATTCGTAGCTGCACTGAAAAGTTTTATATCCCTTTAGTATAGTTTGAAGCTTTAAGAAATAAGTTAACTATTTGGAACACTTGGGACCAGATTAGATTTCATAAATACTTTTTAAATAGAGCAGTACCAGATAACCTGGTGATTTTCTCTTCCTTATTTTCTTAAGACCACTGCAAACTAATTGGAAATCTTTTTTAAAAAGAAAAACAAAAAACCAAGAGAATGGAATATAAAATACCGAAAGCACAATTCATTGACACAGTCTCTTTGGTGAGGTGCATGGAGGAGTAACAGGCTTTGCCCGATGGACGTCCAAGGTGAATGGTGTCCACAGACCCAACCACTGCACACACCTGGCATGCCTGAGTTCCAGTGAGTGAACTGAACCTCTTCCTCAATGGTCCACTGAAAGGTCCCTCTGTTTTGTACATCTGAAAGTCCAGTCCAAAAATATCTTTCAGGCCTCAATCCAACCCAACTAGTCAGAAAGGCTTGTTCATACCTAAAAAACAACAAGAATGAAATAAATAAAATAAAATAAATTTTAGAAATATTTATGTAAATTTTTCTAATTATCAAATGAGAAGTATCTCATTTCTATGTTTGAGCTAAGATATAGTGGGTAACTCAAACAGACTGTGTTATATTTATGTGTCTTTTATATTATGCAAATTTTCACTAAGGAAATGTGATCTTACGAAGAAAAAATACTTTATAAGTGAGTGAATAAAATCATTCAAATATACTCAAATCATCTCTCTCTAGTCCTCACCAGCTCCTCTACTCCTCAAAATGTAATAAAATTCTGAAAATGAAAAGGAAAAAACTACAGCATTTTAAAATACATTGTTTAAAAATTCAGTCTACTTTTCATATATTTCAAATGCTCTACACAATTTTTGGCTAAGTAAGTTGAGAGGCTGTCACATTATAAAAGATAATACAAATCTGTGTGAATTTTCCTTTCAATTTCATTCTCGTATCTCAGCTCAGAAACAAAGATGAAAACCATCAAGAAATGTACAGAAGCAGAGATTCAACCTCTAGAGAGAATGGGAACAGAATCACAAGTTAAACATTTTTTTCTCCCTTTGGGTCTCAACTCTGTATTTGGCATAATCTGGTAATAATATAGTTTGGTTAGTAAAGGAACCAAGCTTGTCTTAACTGACAAACATCAGACAATGAGGCAGCAACATGAACAAAAATCTCTCTATAGAGCAAAAGCATAGTGGTGTCCAAAATTTCTAAAACAAAGTGAGGTGTGGAGAAAGCTACAATAATACAACATTTGCTTGATCCTAGTCTGAATAATTTCTTTCCCCAAACTGAGCAAACAAAATTAAAAGTTCCAAACTCTATTTTTCTTAAATGTCTAAAAACCAAATTGAACCATAGAGTTAGTGAGCTCCTGAATATAAATACCATAGAAAACACATAAAGAAAAAGCAAACCTAAAATATAAAATACAAGGAAATCTCTGCTCCAATAGACCAAAAGATCAATGACAGTACATATAAGAACACAATTCCTTGTCGTAAGATAAAAAGTTATCTACGTTTTGATTTTCAGATGCTAGCATTATGTCAGGGTCTTATAATATATTAGATATTTAATTGTACATGAAAGAAGGATGTGGGTTGAAATATAAGTTCTTTTATAAAAACTATACAAATTCTAAGATATATTTCATTTTATAAAGGATTGTTAATATCAATAGCATTCTCTATATTGTATTGGCTCTGCCTCGAAAAGCCAATAAATATAACTAATTGTTCTAAAACTCAATAATATTTTACCTTTTTACTGCAAATGGAATGGACATTTAAAATTTCTTTTGAGTTTCTCCTGAGCCTATTCCAGTTCTTTGCAAAGAGTAGAGGGAAAAATAAATAAATACTAAAATTTTTTTAAAGGATGAGACTCAGTCTACAGGAATACTACCCTGAACAAGCCTGATCTTGTCTGATCTCAGAAGCTAAGCAGGTCAGGCCTGGATAGTACTTGGATGGGAGACCACCTAGGAAAACCAAGTGCTTATAGGCATAAAAATTTTTTAAAAATTTTTAAAAAATAAGGGATTGTAAGCTGGTAAAATCCTTGCAATCTGTGAGGTCAATCAAGGGTTGCCTCGCCTAACAATATATAAATAAATAAAAAGAAAAGAAAAGGAAAAAAAAACAAAAGGATGGGATCCTACAGGTCAAATTTTACACAAAATCCACTATAACCATGTGATTTTCTTGACCTATAGGTCTAGTAAACCTAGCAAAGAATAAGGAAAAAAATGTAAGAATGGAAAAAATAAGATATTTAGTAAATCTCTCTGTCCTCTTTTTTGGTGGAAAAAAATGATAAAGATAGAAAGTGGGAATTCTGAGCTGAAAAACTTACTGTTTCTGCTTCAAAAAATTGACATAGAAAAAAGTTAGGCCTATAAACTATATTTACTAGGTTATTAGTAAATAGTTCTGAATATTGCTTTATAGTACTAAAAGTAAAAAATATTTTATAGTGTTTGTAATGAAGAATTCAGATAATGTGATTTTTAATGCTTCTGTTTTTACAAACCATATGTCATAATTGCATGAAATGTACTCAGAAATTTAGAACACATTGATACTTAGGTTTTTCTGAAAACTTGTCATTATTTGACATTTTAAAATAAAATTAAAATCGTTGCGTACCTGTCTTCAATAGTTGTTAGGTAAGCCTTCTCATTCACACAGGTTTGGTTTGCTTCTGTAAATGTTGAAAGCGTGTGTCCAATCATGTAGCAGTAGAAGCCATATCTTTTCCAGCCCTGTTTAATGTTATCAAGCAGATTAACAGACATATTTGTTAGATAATCTTATTTTAATAATCTCTTTATCATAAAAACAAATTGATAAACAAGAGAAGTGTCTAAAGAACTCAAATCTGAATTTTGAAGTGCAATGAAAATCATTTATATGAATAAAGAAAACAGTAGTACATCATTCCTCGTATGACAAATCATGATACAAAATGGGTGGGGGTCAGTCATTCTCTCCGCTTTTGAGGCATCCTCCAACAAAATGATTTATGAAATATTTACTGAGGAAACAACATAATGGCTAAGATTTTGGTTTTAGAATAGGTAGACACAGGAAACATTTGCAGAATAGCAAGGCTTATTGCCTATTGTGGCCAACAGTAGGTGATGAGTATAAAGCTATATCATCTGGTCATCGGAGAGTATTATCAAACTTATGGCAACATGATTTGGCATGGTTCCCCTCTCATACTTCAAACACACAGAAATGCTAAATAAAAACAGAACAATAAGACAAAATATCCCTACTAGAGTTTGAGAGAAAAAAGGGAAAACCTCCAGGTACCAAAAATAAGTAGAAAACTAAAAACTGGAATGGAAAATGTACCAACTGAGACCGTGGTTGCTCAGGGTATATCAGACCTAGATTAAGGTCCTGGGGTCCAGGGGCTGGGCATTAATGTTCATGCAGATCAGGCAGTTGGCCAACAGACTACCTGAGGCAGGGAGATAGAACTGAAATCCTTGCATAAAGATGATGCTCATTAAAGGTAGCCCCACTGTGGAAGGAGAGCAAGGAAACTCTACCCACAGAACCGGGAAATGACAGAGATTCCTGTCATTTGCCTGGGGTTCTGGGTATGGGAAAAAAATTCTTCTGTTCGAAAATCAATACCAAATCTGGGCCACAGATGGGTGCCAGTCCCAACTTTACACTATCCACTATCAATGTTGTTTGAGAATTCACAGCCATAAAAAAAAAAAAAGAATAAAAGAAAAAATTTTAGTTTATAAAAGGAGGATTCAGAGAAGTAAAATGCAAAACCACCCAACAGATATATTTCCACAACGGAGGTCATGAAGTGTATGACATTTGAGGGTTGGGGTGGGGATAGGGAAGGAACTAATTTGCAATCAAAATTTATAAACCATATGAAAAAAAATGCCTTATTTTAAGTGAGAGTTAACAATATGACATAATAAAACAATCTGGGAAATATAAAAATCAGCACATTTGAGATTGTTTAAATGACAAAAGAAGAAATAGAATCAATAATGAAAACTCAAAATGCTATGAACAAGAGGGTATTAACACACAAAAAAAACCCAGAATTTCAAGAAAAGAAAAATATAAAGTTAAAAACTTAATGGCCAGATTAAATGTAGAAAGTAAGGTTTCAGAGAGATTAGTAAACTGATGAATGTAGCAGAGGAATGAAAATATGAAAGGAGGTTACAAAAACATGTTGATTGAAAATAGAATGAGAGCATCCATCTGAGATAAATTTTAGAAACACCAAATAAAATTATTGACTGATAATTTTTAAGAATTGAAAGATACTAGTCCTCAAAACGAAGAGGCATATTGAGTACCAAACGGAACCAATAAAACCAATCCGACTCTCAACACATTGCACTAAGCCTGCAGAATGACAAAGACAATGAGAAGATCTTAAAATCAATCAGAGAGAAAATATAGAGGATCCATTTTAAAAAAAGAAGGATTACTCTAATAACAGGAATTTTAATGGCTAAATTAAAAGCCAGGAGAAAATGACATAATACATAGTATTTTCAGAAAACAACTGTCAATCTGGAATTCTGAAATGATCTACCTAAATTATTATGCAGGATGAGGATAAATTCAAGACATTTTTAAGGACAAGACAGTTTTCCTCTCCCAGACTACCAGTGAAAGAACTGCTCAAAGATTTACTTTGGCAAGAAAGATTTTTAAGTCAGGAGGAGTGAGTGAGCTACGAGTAAGTGTATGCTGAGCAAAGAAGTCAATAAATGTCTTAGTAATCCAGGTCTAATTGCTTGTACAAATAGCAAAAATAACAATTTTGGGGCAGTAAGTTAAAGAATGAAATATGAATAAGATCTATAGTTTAGTTACTGATATTGTACCCATGTCAATTACCTGGTTGAGATAATGTACTCTAGTTAGATAAGATGTTATTGCTGGAGGAAGCAGAGTAGATGATAAAGGGGAATTCTCTGTACGCTTTTTTTCCACTTATTATGAGTCTAACATTATTTTTTTTTAATGTCTAATGTGGAATAGTAATCTCCATTTTGTTCAGGAAGCGGAGAGAGTGATTAACTTCAAGTCAGGAATGCATGTTAAAAACATAAGGTTAATCATTTAAAAAACAGAAGTAGAATGTACAATTCCCTAAAGTGTGGAGGAGAAAAACGACGTAAAGATATTGAACCAGTGGACTGCAGCAAATGAGAAAAAAGAAAACAGAATGATAAACAAAATAAAGTGCAAAATAAATGGTAGACATTAATCCAAATATATCAGTAGGCAAAACAAATCTAAACTCATGTTTGCCCATTAAAAGCCAGAGTGCCTTAAATAAGATTAAAATTTTAAATATATATATATATATTTAAAATTTTAAATATATATGCATTTAAAATTTTAATCTTATTTAAGGAAACCTCCTTTACCAACTGATTGCTTTTAATCATTCTATGTCATTATATTCTTAAAGCTCCTAGTGGTATGTTCTATAATATAATGACATAGAATATTAAAAGCAATCAGTTGGAAAAGGAGGTTCTAGAGAAATACCAAGCAAAAGATAACTTTTGTGGCAATATTAATATTATTTAAAATGGACTTTATGGTGTAAAAAAAGCATGATTATAAATAAAGAAATTACATAAAGGACTGATTCATCATGAAGGTGTAACACTGATCAAAGTATATAATGAAAAAATTTACAGAATTATAAGAATATTTTGTTAAGCAGATAAAATATTAGGAACACAGAATATCTGAATAATTGCTTTATTTTACCTAGTCAGCACACATATACTCCTAAACCCGATTATCATAGATCATCCCTTCAAGCTCACGTGGAATATTTATAAAAACTGTGAACTAGACCATAAAGGAAATCTTAACAAAAAATACTTATATGATCTCAATGCAGAGAAATTAAAATAGTACTTCTCATTTATTTAGAAACTAAAAAACCACCAAAACCATCTTCACTACCACTAAAACCTCATCACTAAACACACACACACACACATACACACACACACACATACACATCATAGGTCAAAGAAATCTTAACAGAAATTGAAAATATTTAGAATTGAATCATGATAAAAACACTACATAAAACTCGGTGGCTGTTCATGGTTTCAATTACAACTTTCATTTCTATAAGTATTTTAAAATACATTCATTTTGATGTCATATACACTAATCTCATCATCTAAAGCTCCTAGTGGTATGTTCTATAATTTTGGATTTCCAACTCATCTGCAGGGTTCCTAGTCAGCCTGGAAAAGGGAACTGCTGTATAAAGAGAATTTACATTTGCACCTGTCAGACATCCTGGAATATTAGCAACTCAGGAGTATTTTATGTTAATTTCTTAACTCCAAATTTCCCACATAGGTGAGCAATAAATTGAAAACTGGATCCCAAACAGTAAGACAACAGGCCCACAGTTCTAAATTCTCAAAAAGACCCCTACACCACCAAGTGCCCAGACCCAGAAAAAAAACGGTCTTATTGTTTTCCTTTGCTAGTCAGTGGATTTTTGTTTCCTAGTCTTCTCGGCTCTTTGAGGAAGTCACTGCCTAGAGCAGGTGCTTTTTAACTGGCCAAATTACTTAATGTCTCTGAATGTCAGTTTCCTCTTCTATCTAATTAAGAATATAATATTTATCTTTTAAAAGCAATGAGATCATAATAACTGTACTTGACAAACAGTTGCTTTTTCTTATTGAAATATTTTCCTATTACCATTATAATGATTAAATTGCATTATATCAGATCTACAATCAATAGATTATGTATAGTATAACTTTCGTTGTAATGTATAACTTTCGTTGCAATAAAATTAAAGGATCGTTTGTCATTTATAGAAAGTTACAATAATATAATCTCCTATATATGCATATGATTAGGCAAAGAATACATAAGTATACTGGGATTGAAATTAGTAATGAAAGCATAGTGACCTGGTGACAGGGTACTGTGTTCCAGTCTTGCCTCTACATGACTCTAAGGAAGTCATTGCTCTCTTAACTGAAATTTCCAGAATGTAAAAATTGAAAGAGGAACTTTGATCATCATTAGGATCCTTTATTCCTCTAACAGCCTGTGATTTTCTGTATCTGCCCCATGTTTCTTTATGGGTTTTTTTTTTCTTTTTTTTTTTTGTAGAGTATTAAATTGTTTCATGAATTCTCAACCCGCTGATGTTTGTTATAAGATGATTTGATCACAACAGGAGACTCTTGGAAAGAAAATTTGATTCTACTTTATTTTTATCCAAGAGACATGAGAAAGGAAAAAAAAAAAGCAGAAGATGAGCAACAGAGCTCATCTTCAAACAGAATAATAACCATACACCCTGGATTTTGTAGTTCTTTATGCTTTTAGAAATTGTTTCACAGAGATCATTTACTTTAACCTCACAGAAATGTAAGACCTGCAGGGAAGTATTACTAACCATCATGCAGGTGAGGCTGTCACACGGCAGGAGCGTATGGCTTTATTCAGTTTAAGGGAGTGACAGCTGGCCCCGACCAGCTAGAGTTCATATCTCCTGCCTCCCATTGCAGTGATCTACTGAGAAGAACCCCCTCCAGAAGTAGGCTCATCAGAAATGTCATAAATGATAAAAAATAACTAAGGATCGTTTGCTATCTGCAACTTAAGGTTATCTACCAGAAATGTCCTTGGCGACCCATAGAGTCATAGACGACCAGTAACTCACTGATGACCCCTTGTCCCATGACCTGCCTTAATCTCATTACTCTCTCCGGGCTTCATTCGCTGTGTCATTTTATTCTCTGTCCTCTTTCCTCCCATTCCCATGACAATTCTGCAAGGAGCTACTGACCACATACACTCCATGTTACCTGCTGAGAACACCTGAAGAAGTCTTTAGGGAGCACGACGAGACAAAACACTAACAATAAACCGTTGAATGTTTAAACAGTTGAAACGTTTGGCTACGACGATAAATAATAGAGTACTTTCACGAGCGAAAAAATTAAAGCCAAGTGTATTATATATTATTTGCTGGTCTGGAATCATTGTGTACATTCTATACTCACTTTCTGGCAGCCTGATTCTACTTCCACGATTTCTGAGCCTTGGGCTTGTGATTTCATCTTACAGATGTAATTAAGCGGATGCTCGCAGGCCCGATCTGCCCAGTACCCATCCTGCAGAAAGCAACGAGGAAAAACTTAATGATGATCAATTTGACTTCGATGCTATTTTCTTGCAATTGTGCCTCCAAAAGGGAAACAAAGATTTGAGGTTATTAAGAAACAATGGTATCTATGAAAAGCAAAGGTAAATTGACATTTTGTAAGTAAACAACAAATCTGTCTCTTGCTACAAAGACGTTAAAGGAGATTGTAGTCCCAATGTGTTGTTGTCTTAGCTGTTCAAGCCGCTATTTAGAGGGATCTAGAGAGAAATTAAAATTGCTTGCAAGCCCGTAAGTGAGATGGTGCCAAGAGCTGTTTTGCACACAGCCTCTGCAGTCAGCTGTTTTCAAGTTAACCAAGTACATGTAAAGTCATCCAGGAAAAATTCCCTTACCCAACACACCAAACTTGAACACATACCTGAAACTAGGCACCTCTCCTCCGTTTCCAACTTCTATTGCTCAGTGTCCTCCTGGATCTAAGACTCCACCTTTCACTCTGCTTCCAATTCTATCCTCTCTCTCCCTTTCTTAGATATTTCACGTTAAAATGACCTCTCTTCTCCTTCCCTTAACTACTAAACACCTTGGAAAATGTATTTCTGCATTGTCTGCCTCTAATTCCTCATCTCTCACTTGGTCTCAACCCACTGCAGTCTGCTACTCTTTCCTTCTGCCGCAGTAAGACTCACAAAGGGCAGATCTGGTCTCCCCACTTCCAGTTTAATACATGTTTTCTCAACCTCAACGCAACAGTTCGGACCCACCTTTCTTTCTCTACCTCTATGCATTTCAGCCATACGATCCTTTCGGTTCTTGACATAGATGATGCTTTCTGGTTTCCTCTTCCCAGGACACACCTCTGCCTATTCTTTTGATAGTTTACACATACTCTCTTCTTAAGCTTTCAATTAATTGCATTAAAAGCAATTACGATGATGAAAGTAGTAGCTAATACCTATTGAACAAGTTTGGGGCAAGCACTGTGCACATTGTCTGTATAAACCCACTTAATCCTTACACACACCATGTGAGCTAAGTACAATTATTTTTCCCATTTTGCAATGAGGAAAGAATTCTCACATCGAAACCTTGCTTCTTAAGCACCACGCTCATCATCTATCAACAAAAGATAATCTGATGATATTCTTCAGTTGCTAAAGTCGTATTTAGGGTATGGAAGAAATCTTTTCATATGTGGCACTTCCATGTAACCTTAAAAAATAAAATAAAATAAAAAATAGTGTAGCTCTCCTAGCACAGATGGCAGGCCATGGGACCAGAATCCAGCACAGGAACAATATGTGATTATTAGTTATTGGTTAATTTCATCCTGGACTCCAAAGTCTCTGTCTGTTGCTTTTCTGGGCCTCTTGAAAATGTGACTTCGCTCGACAGCCGTCAGATTCAGATTCAAGAAGATGAATTTGAGTTTTAGTTCCACCTTGACCTATGACGATTTAACCTAGATTAGAAATGATCTAAACCACCACATGGAATAGGTGGGAAAGATTCCCTGTGGCCTTGCTAGCGGTCGGTCATTAAAGCTGTCTCACCTTGCCTTTCATCACAGTGCAGTCTTCCTGCCTGTTGTTTTCATGGCTTGGTTCTCCACGAAGCCATTTGGTAAATGTTACAGGGGTCCCATCACTCCATTCAAAGTACATTTGAATCTTGATGTCATTTAAGCCAATCCATAATTCATCGTTTGGCTCTAAACAAGAAGAAGAACACAAAAGTGATTTACACAGTTTTCTTTCCAAGAATCAGGAAGTGATCAGGAAAGGAAGGCCCTCTGCTTTAGGAACGACAGTTCTACTCTGTCGACATGATACCTATCACAAAAGCCCATCCTACTGAGTGTTAATCTGATCTACTCAGTGCTACAGACTGAGAACTACGCGTTTTGTCAATTTTAGGTTAATTGTATAATGTAGTCTTTACACTGTGAATGTGACCATATTCCTCGGTTGTGCTACAGCAAACGACGTCTCCTGAGAGTTGCAAAAAGTAACATTGAGGGGCGTCTATCATGACCTTCTATCTTGTGAAGTGTCTTTTTTGTTTGAAATAACCTTTCATACCAATTGCACTGACTGTGTTGGTAACATGGCAGCTAATTTATATATAAATCTATTCGACTACTATTAAATCTTATTTGTGTATGTTTTGAAATACTAAATATTAAAAATCACTTTTATTTTACTGACTGCCATTAACAAAAAATGTTTTAGGTATTTCTATTAAAGCTCAATCACTGTAATAAAAGTAAAAGTGATCTATACAGTGAGAAGAAGCATAAACTGAGGAATTAGGCTGTGTCCTGACATTTGGCACTTATTTACTAGTCTGTAAATATAAATGAACCCGAAATTATTTTCACCGTGACATATGAGAAAAAAGAAAAACAAATAACAAATAGAGGTTAAAACAAAAACAACTAGGTCTATATATAAAATGTGATCATTTAGTTTTAAAATTCTATGAAGAGCATTATCGATTTTATTAGTAGTTACAATTCTACGAATTCTAAATACCATAACTAAAATGGGACAAAATAGAAGGCCTAGGATTTCATGCCTGAAAACACAGAATTCCAAAATTTAAAAAATGAAAGAATATCCAATTCGATATCTATTCAGTTGCACTCCTGAGAATTCCATCGTGAATGTCTGATTTATGACATTAAGCGGTAAAATAAAATTACTTGCCAAAGGATTTTAAAGATGATGTTGTAGTAGAAAACGGGGAAAATGCCACTGTATAGGAATTTCCCTAAACGATTTAGTCTCTTCCTCCTAAAGTTGTCACTCAAGTTTGCTTTTGGAGAAGTCCCTGACTGGCCCAGCACCAGCCCCAGCAGATGTTTCCAGAGCTGCAGAGCATGAATGACATTGCCAGGACGACCCTTGGTCCTTTCACTTAATTTGGCAGATCGTGATCTTTCTGAGCAGCCAATAGAGGCTTCAAAACGACCTACTGTGCCTCTGAAGGATTAGGTTTAAGACTAATGAAAATCTAACTCCCGAGTCTCACTATTAGAATAAAGTATTAAGAGTTTTCTATAAACATTTTTCTCACTAAACTGTTCTCCCCTTCTACCTTTTGTAATTCCTAAGCACAGTCTTGATCCCACAGAAATACGTAAGATGTGAGTGTAAAATTGTTAGGCTGATTTTTATAAATCAGTCGTGGAAACTACCTTTGTCAATGTAGTCATAATTTATGTGGACAGGTCTCAATTTATCTACTATATTTCCATGATTAACATAAAAGGTATCTCAGCTAGGTAAAAAAAAAAGATTTTGTAGGCTTTGGATTTAGAAATAATAATTTTAATTTCGTATTTTTTCTTTACCTTTATCAATATTATTTTTATCGTTTTAAATAAATCTTTATCAATAATAAAAAAGGAATGTTTGCAGAGTGAAAATTCCCTAATTTTCAAGCTAAGTTTAAAAGCAACCTTTGTCATCCAACTTCCCAAAATAACCATAGCAATAAACATATAAAGTTCTCTTCTTACTATATTATATTACATAAAGTGGAGCAAAATTTGCATATTATCCCAAGAGCATCTTAACGAATCTGTTTCCCACTCATTCACATGCAAACTTTACCACCTACTCTAAGTATCATGACTTGCATGTCATGATAATATCCAGATATATCCGTTCTGATTACATTATCATTGTCTAGTCTGAACTGTCCAGGATGGGTAAACATAGAATAATCAAGAAACCGTTCGCAAGCTGCGGCAGTCTATTTCCATGCCCTACTAAACTCAGCGAGGTAAAGCAGAGAGTCCATTTGACACAGGTGCCAGGAGTAGTAGTGTTTGGGGATCTTTTAAATCTTTTTCCGAAGCTACTCTAATTTTCTCATCCCTTCGTCAATTACTTTTCCCTCCTCCCTACCCCCACTCCCGTCAACTGTCAGGCAGTCCGCGTCAGGAAGCAGTCCCCACCATCACCACCATCCATTTCCTCTTGTTTTGCTTGCTGGAAATGAACAGCTGCAAGCTATTCAAGTCTCATCCGTGGAAGCAGAAAATGATAATCATTTAATCAGCAAGCACTGCAGAGGGCCCATTATCATTAGGTTTTTCCTCACTTCTCTTTCAGGATAAGCATCCCCAGCTCCTTTTACCCACTTTTTTTTTTTAATAAGCTTTTTTCAATTTTGAAGACTTAACGGTATTTTAGTTACTATTCTATATATTTCTTAAATCATGTACCTAAAATGGAAACATACATTTCTTTAAGAGGTTGAGGCCCACATCTAAATACTTTCTTTCGCTGCTCACCATTCTAGCAGCAGCATCTAGGCTTAATAAAGAAAATAAAATCCAAAGTATGTGATGGTTCAGTTTCAGACCTTTCTTGTGAGGTAAAATATAGACCTTAGAAAAGAAAATATACACACACACCCACGAATAATTACAAAAAAACGAAACGCTATTGACATTGACATGTTTAAGGTTAGACTGCTCTGAATCCAGATTATACGCAGAAGAATAATATTTTTAAAACTATCCATTAATTAATGACATAGGAAAAGGAAAACAAATTATCTCCTAGGGATAAAAATTCTTTAAAGTACTACACGATGTTTACATGTGAGGCATGATTAATAATTTATTATTAAATTAATGAAATCGATGATGGAATTATTGATTCAAACTTATTCAGTTTAACAATTATGATGAATTTTCCTGGGGATGGCAAAGAGTGGGGAAGACTCAGGTCAAGCATGTTACTGGGGTAAGTGCGTACCATATCCCAGCTGGGAGATAATGAAGTCAAACTCCTCAATGGTGTGGATACTTGCGAGGTCGCCACCTTCCTTCCTGCATGCCATCAAGGCATCTCTTTGGATTTTCTTCTCTCTGTGAATTTTGTAACAGTTACCTGTATATGGCCACCACTGACTCGGACAGTTAGTCGGCACATCACTTTCTAAAAAAAAAAAAAAAAAAAAAATAGTTTGGAAAACATGTAAAAAGAAGTGTTTTGTATTTTTTTAATTGTAACATTTTTATCATTCTATATACAAAACGGTTCATAGTTATATGCAATAAAGGGAATGTTTGTTTTTCTTTTTTTGGCATACATAGGTACAAAAGATAAACTAGATTGTGTTTGCTTTCAGACTACAGAGTATATGAACCCATCTTTCATCTTAAAATAAAACTAGGGAAACTTCTTTAAAAAAAATTGTTCCTAATAGGGCAAATAGATTGTCTCATTTCACCTGCATTTTGTCGTCAGTAAACCTGTACTAAGTATGTTATGTAAATGCTGGAGACACAAAGTTTGACATGTGACACATCCCTTAAAGGATCTCAATTCCCCTCAGTTCTGCGGACATCAGGGAAACAGTCATTCCTCAGAGGAGGAACAAGACCCATTAGGCAAGCAAGAGAAAGAGATATTGAAACAAGGACTAGAATAAGTGGGGTGGGGGCAGCAAGGCCACCAAGGAGCCTCTGAAACCTTAGCGGTGTGAACTGCCACCTGCCCCTCGGAACTGACCCTTACCATTGACTTACTCCCAAGAGATAACATATGATATTGTGCAAATTGCAGAGATTAGATGCAGAAGTGTTTCAGGCAAAACCTGAATTTGCCACCAGAACCAAAGTATTTATATATGTAAAGCATTTTAAATAACATTAATACTAATATTATATACCCATCTTCACTGTGTTCTGAACTAAAAAACATTTGAGATAACGTGACTGGAAATTACAGCTGCCACACGATTATTATTAAATCAAATCAGTAATAGTGGCCAGTATCCTAGTTACTGCTACTAATAGCTACGGTCAAATTTCATAACCTCAATTATACATTACAAAAATATGCTATAATGGTAATGAGCCGGGGAAATTGAGAGTGATGACATTGGAAGGCAGAGATTCACCATATTCATCCCTGGAGACCCTAGAACAGGCATAGGGCCTGGCACATGGTATGTGTAATGAATGTTGGTTGAGAAAAAGAATTAAAGTTATATTGCCTACACTGTAGCTTATTATTACCGTTTTATGGATACTATTTCAAACAGCAATTTGGCAATATACCTTGCTTAAGAAGGACTATATTACCCAATGAATGTCAATTTATACATTTAAATTTGATATTAAATGTTCTCAACTGTGCTGCTTTAGTAAATGTTCAAAACAGGGTACCTTTGTTATGTGTTAAAATGTATCAGTCCCATTTTCCCTTAAAGGCTGGAACTATCTGCACCACCTTTGTTTAAGCCCAGGATTCTGTGCACAGTAGTCATTCAAGTTAACAGACAGTCATGATTAAAAATATGCATTTTTATTATAATCAAACACAGTATTTTTGTAATAAAAATGCATATTTTAAAAAATGTTATTCCTTCAATACAATTTAGATTCTCTACACTTCCAGTGGCTACAAAAAAAAAAAGGAAAGAAGAAAAGAAGGAGGGGAGAAAGGAAGGAAAGAGGGAAAGAAAGAGGGAAGGAGGAAGGGAAGGAAAGAAAAAAGGCAGGAAGGCAGGAAGGCAGGAAGGCAGGAAGGAAGGGAGAGGAAGGAAGTGGGTGGCGGCTTCGCCTCCCGTAATAACAGGCCACCTCCATTTAGGAAGGAAGGAAGGAAGGAAGGAAGGAAGGAAGGAAGGAAGGAAGGAGAGAGAGAGAGAGAAGGGGCGGGGAGAGAGAGAAGGGAAGAGAAGGAACGGAAAAAGACATTTGTATAAACCTCTGGAGCCCTCTGGTGGGATTTTTCAATCTTGCTGCCTAGGAATCTGAAAATAATGTCAGCAAATTCTCAGGACTTCAAAAACTGAACAGATGAACTTCAAGAATATTTTTGCATATGAAAACAACCAATGAAGGGGACCTCCCTGTGGCAGCCACACAAAGCTGCTTATTGCTCTAGAGCAGCACGGTCCAATAGAAAGATAGCGCAAGCCACAAATGTGAGCCACATACATTTAAACTTTTAAATTTCCTTGTTGCCATCTTACAGTAAAAAGAAACAGGTAAATTTAATTGTAGTAAGGTATGTTATTTAACCTAACATATCCAAAATATCATTTCAACATGTAATCAGTAAAAATAAATAAATGAATGAATGTATGCATGAATGAATGAATGAATGAATAAAAGATTTTTTTTTTTCCTGGTAAGCCTTCGAGATCCAGTATGCATTTTACTCTTAAAGCACATCTCAGTTGGAACCAGCCATGTTTCATGTACTTACTGGCCACCTGTGTGCATGACAGTGGCTACTGAACTGCACAGTGCAGCTCTCGGGACCCAGGCATTAGGGACAGACGGGGCAGCACTGCAAGAACCAACTGGGTCCGAGGTGGAATTCTTGCCCAAGGGGTCACCAGTTATGTGTGCTGTATAGTTTGATCTCTGATATGCTTTTTCAAGCTCTGGCTAATCTGAATGAATAGATAAGATCGAATGGTTAATCCAAGAAGGATAGAGAAATTCAGAAACCGGTAACGAGTGAAGCAAGGTGAGGCACAGCAAAGAAACAGAATAGCTCACTGAGTGCTTCACTGTGAACAAATATACCACGTCCCCTGTGGGAGGGACAGAGGAGATGAAATGCAAGCATGGCAGCGGGCTCCCTGAGGCTTGCCCACACTCATGATGGTGACCCCGTAAAGTACGATCAGACCTCATAACCAGCAGCAGCATCTCTATCCGTTGGAGATCTGTCCACATCTGTAGCTATTAAAATCGTAAACACACCTACTCTTTGATCCGGCAACTCCGCCTCTAGGGAAGAACATCTATGTGAAATGACTTCTTTATAAAGTTATTCACTGTAGGATTGTTTATAACAATACAAAATTGGAAGCAAGCTGAAGGTCCATTAATAGGGGACTCATCAAAAAAAATATAGGGCCTCTCTCTGCAACGGCTATGGTGCAGCCACAAAAATGAACACAGAAGCTATTTATGTACTATATGGAATGATGTCCAAAATTGTTATTAAGTGAAAAAGTAAAGAATATGTAGAGTATGCCACCATTAAACAGACAAAAAATATAGTTTATTCACTGTTTACCAATTTGTAGAAATGATGCATTCTTGCCTTAGTAGCTTTTATTCTTCTGTAATATTATAACAGAGAGCATAATTGAAATTTTTTACTTGGGTCTAGCCTATATATAAAATTCAGTTACTATTTTTGGAATGTTTATTCTGTTTTCGTGAAGACGTCAGTGTACAATGTTAACTTGAATAGCACTGGAACCCAGACCTCTAAATAGTAGGGACATTAAAAAAATAATAATAATAAACCTTTTAAAATATTTCTTTCCTAGCTTGGATTCCAATTTCATCATATGTGTAAGCTTTATCTACCCTCTGAATATCTCTCTCCTCATCTAGAATGTGTGAATAATAACACCTCCCTCATAGGGCTGCTATGAAGATAAAATTCTTATTTATGTTCTGTCAAACACAATAGTAGACTCAGGAAATGTTAGCAACCAGGAGTAGCAACCAACAACAAAAAGAAATTTTATAGGAATATCATTAAGCTTACTCCAGAAGTTATCCACAAAACCTGTCATTTCATATGGTTATGACTAAGCCATAATTTTACCTTTAAATTAATATGTTATACAATTCGGATCAAATAGAACACTTACCTGAAGGAATAACAAAAGAATTCAAAGTTGTGTTGCCCTTTTTACAAATGTAGCCTAGTCTCTGAACACATTCCACATTTTCCCATTTCGCATTTTTCCCAGGATTTAGTGACACACAGCTTTTTCCAGGTTCTGCTGATGGACTTCCTTTGGGGAAAAGAAAAAAATTAAAGTGAGACTATCGTAGGTATTCCAAGGAGATAGCCCTCTCAGCCTCATGTCTTCATCCTTGAGATTTAATGGATTCCCATTCTGGCTTTTGCTACAGATTCACAAATACTTACTGAATACAGAATAAAAGCCATGCTGGGTGTCTATTTTCTTGTAGGATCATTTTAATGCCTCAGATGTGGAATATACAAATTTACTTCTTTGAAATAATCTTTTTTTTTTCCCCCCACAATATCAAATAATAAAGCTAGACCTCAAAGCCTGAACAATCTTTGCGTGGGGTTATGTCACATTTAATAGAGAGATAGACACCTAATGGACGAACGCATGCTGTTCCAAACCAGCCCGAATGAACGCTGTCAATGCCTGTCAAGAAAACTAAGTCAAGCTAACTGTGAGGATCAGAAACTGAGGATGAGAAACTGAACATGAGGAAACTTTCTCCAATTAGAAAGAGGTGACAGGAAAGAAAGATAATGAGGCAAGGAAAGGGACCCTGGAAGCTGCAACATGCCAGGGTAAATGCTGATAAAATGTGCCTCGAACTAAGACACTGTCTCAAGATTTTCAACTCAGCTTATGAAGAATAGTTTTAACAGCCGACCCCTCATGCCATTTTTACCAGACACTGATTAAAGAACCAGACAGTCAACTTTGCTAATGCAAATGGATACATGCATTGACGCCCACATCTCTCATGCTTTTTCATTACTTTAATATATGATTTTAAATCCAGTGCTCTAAAAACTAGCTCCATCTCACACCTGAAGGTAAGTGAATGAGCAGCCACCCTGTGTTAATGACTCTGCTTTGTGACCTCAAGTAAGTGATCTATTTGTGACCTCGCTCTCCCTTCCTGCAAGATGAGAATCATATTACCTGCTCCACAAAGCCTGTGTCAAAAAATTTTGAAAGTTGTTTGAATGGCACACACAAAAAACATGTTAATGATAAGGATAAAGATGTTTTAAAAATAAGTTGATATTATGATCAAATTCACAATATAAATGAACTAACAGGTAAGGCATCAGTGTCAGTACTAGAAACTTTCAAGAGACAATAATGTATTTTAAAGCTATTGGTTATTAATATATTATCAAGTAAATCATGCCATATATTGATTTATTTATCAATATAACACAACTACCAATTTTAATAGATCAGTTAGTTGTCTTTAAATAGTCGCCATAGTTATATATTTGAAATTATACTTCTATATCATTTGTGTAAAATACCCTCACTTCAAATACGAGCGTATTTTAATAGAGGTATTACTTGGTAATAAGTACTCAAGTGAGTGTCTGATTGAACAAGTTATACAATAACAATTTCTAACATCCCACAAGCTTTCTAATTTTAGGTTGAAGAAACCCTCATACTATTTCAGAAAGTGATTTAAAATTGCATCTACTCAGGAACATGGTTTAGTAAGGAAGGTCATTTCTTTTTCTTATTAATATTCCAATTTCATTTCTTATCTTTACTAAAGTTAACCTCCATATTTTCTAACTGAATTCTTAGAATACAGGTGGTTAGATATTAAAATCATTATCCCGAAAGGAGTAATAAATAAAATGACCTGCCCTGCTTAATGTTGTATAATAATTAAGCGAGAAAGAATAAATTCTAGTGCCCTCATAAATTATTATTATTATCTAGTGATCTGATTGACCCCACCTGGTGTTCTCCAGTTTAATCTGACTGAGTGAGCAGGCGGACAAATCAAATCTTCACTTATAAAAAGGGGGACCTTATTTTCCTTGGCAGCAATGTTTAATTCCCATGTTCCAGGAGAAAATAGAGCAGAGACTATTATAAAACTCTAGTGACAAACTTGTAACCATCATGCATCCAAGGTGATACTTTGTAGTAAAATCTAATCAATTTAAACCAAAATATGTCCTGTAAAAATTCCTCTTCATGTTTCAGCATCTATTTTGAATATTGTTTTACTGAAGTTGTTTTTTTTTTAACAGCATAAGTCGATAGCATAGAAAATGTAGATTTTAATTATACCAAATGCAAAAACCATTCAATGGCTTTAAAAAAGAAGTCTAACCATATGAAAAAAACAGCAGAACTGATCAATGAAGATATCCCTTTCCTTTCGCCCACACAAGGCAGACATCACTAACTGTTCATTGTACTCTTTCTTAATAAACCAAGATTGCATTGGATGAAGTCTCCCAACTCTTCTCTTTGAGATCTACATGTGAGGTGATGAAGGTCCCCATGGTCTCCAGATAAATCAAATTTAGATGATTTCAACCACACAAAAGCTTCACTCTACCTGGTAACCAGTTCAAATATCGGAAGGGACTGCCACTGCTCCATTGCCACCCGCTGTTGAAACTCAGACTGTTGAGTCCAATCCAGAGTCCCGAAGTCAAGGAACTGGTTAGTCCTACATAACGAAAGCGAAAACAGAAGCAAACGACAGTGAAATCAAATTCAGAATTCAGGGCTCTTGAAGGGAAATATCCATCCTTTGACATTCCTCATCTGCTGTGGGTCCTTCTAGGCTAGTTTTAAAGAATGAAATTAATTATAAAAACAGAGCCTAACACATAGCACGTGCCCAATAAACGTAAGCTATTGCGTTTATTATTATTGTTGTTGTTGTTGTTGTTGTTGTTGTTGTTGTTGTTATATGTTGAAGTAGGGTTGGCAAAAATTGTGATTTCAAAACAAATTTATACTTTGTGTTAAATATATCACTTAACGCAGATGAGCATCAGCCATGTTTTTTTTCTTCTTTTGTGCTTTTGTAATTTTATGAGATTAATTTTTTCAATATTACTATAGACAATATCAATTCCACATGCTAAATATTTTATTTCTTCATTGCTCTGCATGTATTGTCTGAAATGGTTATATACCTACTTTTTAACTTAGATATAATAGAAGATGCAATCACGTCCAGTATTATACTGGTCTGGTTTCTTTTTCTATATTGAGGTCCAATTTATTTTCCAGCCAGCACCAAAGGAAACGCAAAAACAATCAGAATAACAAGCTAAATTTCACATCCTATATTTTATTTCAGTTCTGTAAATCCTGATCCTGCACGTATGTAGTTATAAATCTGATTCAGAAATTGAGGATTGAATAGTGTCCCAACATTTTCGAGGTTAGAAACAGAAGTTAGGACGAAAAATGACTGTGGGTGACATGAGCATGTGCTGCTGGGCAGAAGCAGTTAGCCCCGTGGAGAATGTGAAATCAGATTACCAGATTAGAATAAATTTACTGAAGCGAGGAGCTGTCGACGTCTTAATTAAAGGTTCTCTTTAGTGCTATGGGGACCCCCAGATCCTTGCTTGTTTTGTGAGTGAGACCCAGGCAAACCGAAATGGAAAGACAGCACTGAATTCCAGTTAAGCTATTTTCTTTAAACAATGAAGCTTTAGACAAGTTTTTAACTTCTCCCTCCTACTCTGATATCTATCTCATCTATTAAATGAGAACAATAATATTCATTTAGGTGGTGGGTGTGAGCTTTAGAAATAAAGCTATGTCTGGCACATAGCAGCTGTTCAATAAATAACAGGTAATTTGATCTCAGAGTTATAAAACAAGCTCACGCATTTTAAAGAAAAGGTGTTTACTTCTTAAAATCCTCACATCTAAGAAATCTTATCTTAAAAATATAACTATTTGTGGGTGCTTTTTTTCATTTTAGTAGCATATTTCCCAAAATGGTGTAGATCAGAACCCCCATTCTCACACCATTATTTTCTAGATTCTTCCCCAATCTATCCCAATAAACCCCGAATGTCATGAATAATCTTCCCTCCAAAAACACCAAAATTCTGTTGATTTTTTAAAAATTCCTCGTCAGAGTTTTTTCCCCTCAAATGCATGATATTTTTGACTTAAAGAAAAGCAGGAAATATTATAAATCTCATTCCAGAAGTCATTCTTATCCAGGTTTCAGTTAAAAATGTGCTGACTAACATTCTGGAGGCCTGGATAAGATTTAAATAAGAATCTGAGGGGAACTAAGCCCCTGCATCTCTTAGGGCTTGCTGGCTCTCCTGGGGGACATGACAGCAGTGCCCTGTTGATTAGGGAAGTATTTCCTGCAGCTGGAGCCCCGAGAGTGGGAGTCAGGAGCCCGGAAATGAGTCCAGAGCTGGGCAGAGCCACTGTCCTGCCCATGTCATCCCTTTCCTCTCTGTAGCTAGGGAGGAGAGTTAAAACGTCACCTGTGTTCTATCCCTTGGCTTCCAGAAATGAACAAAAACAAAACAAAACAAAACGAAAAAAGTAAAATTCCTAAGAGTCAAGATAACACAACCCCAAAACAGATTCCTTAAAAAAAAAAAAAAAAAAAAGTCAGTTGAAACCATTTCGACTCTCTTAGATTTTTCTCTCACCCATGCAAGGGTGTACGAATAATACCAGGATTATATTAAATCATCTTTTCTCTTCCTTAATTTAGTTTTGTTTCTTTCTGTGCTTTCTTATCTTTCTTCTTGTTTTTAGACACGGTTATAAATGTTAATCACTCTGAGACTTTGTCCCATTATTAGAAAGCTCCCCCCAGCAAAGAAAAAACCCAAAACAGAATAATTGAGCAGCCTGAGGCATACTTTCATCTCTGAGTTTGTGAAAGCACCCAGTGAGATCACGTTGCTTTTCCATCGTCAGTCTCCTTAATAAGAACTGACAGAAAATGGTGAGTTGCTGCCTATCCTGAAAGGAGAAAATTAATAAATGTTCAGCTCGGTGTTCAACTACGGCAAGAAATATTTCATTAAGTCAAGCAGTTCACGATTTAGTCCTCGGAAATTGACTAGGAGTAGAAAAACACTTCTTACCCAGTTAACGTTTCATGCATTCCACAAGGTTGTGTTCAATAAACGTATGTCACATTTTCCCACCCCATAGAATGCACTAATAATCTCCAAATTCGACTGAAAAATGAAATAACTTATGGGGAGAAATATGTTCCAGCTGATAAAAAGGATCTTCTGAAAAGAGTTGGAGAAAGTGAAACCCTAGAAAGCAAGGCAAGGCTGGGGACAAGCTCTGTCCCTTGTATTATTGGTTGACACGCACTCTCTCCTTTAACAGGTGAAGTCACTGAGGCATAGAAGTCTCAGGTGACTCCTTCTCCATTGTCCCCAAGCTTCCCAGCATCAGGACCCAGGCTCTAGAATTTATGCTCTTTACTCCTGCACTCTGTGCTAGTGTCTAGTCAGATAGAGTTTGCAGGCATTGCTGACATAGCAGGTACTAAGTGTGGTCTCTGAAACTTGTCCTAGAATCACCCAGAAGGTTGATAACATGCAGATTCCTGAATGAATGAATGAATGAATGAATGAATAATGGCCTTGTAGGGAACATGAGACATATATGGAACTATTATTATAAAAGTGGTAAACGAATGACAGAAATGCATATGCAAACAGAGAAGAATCGCATTTCGACTGTATAATATTTTGGGACTTCCAGGTACAAGTAAAATGACATGCGAGAGGGTGTGGAGGTGAGAAAGAATGAAATATGAATGAGGAACCTAAAACCTTTCTTTTGTCAAGACTGCACGATGCACGAAGGGGAGCAGTTGTCAGCGGACACATGACAGCCTTTGAATGTCAGGCAGAGGTGTTTTGTGAATAATTTGGTAGGAAACAAGAAGCCAGTAAGAGTTTTCAAACATGGTAGTCTCAAGATCAGAGATATGGAAGCAATGTCAGGGTGACCTGGAGGGAGGAAGGGCACTCTGGAGTGGAGAATTGGGGATGCTTTTTCTCCCCCGCTCATTCCTACTCCTAATCTCTCTGTTCCCCAAGTGTGGATTTTAGAAGCTAAAACAAATACTCTCACTTCGAGCAAACATCAGCTCTTTTAATCTTTACAATTTTACAAGAACAAGAGCTTAAAAAACAAACAGTACACTGGGGAAAGAGGGTCAATAAGATTTGAAGGTCTGAGAGTTCCAGAGACAGGAGACAAAAAGGTCTCAGAGTTTCAGAGCAGCTCTTGACTTGTCCCCGCTTGTGGTGGCAGCATTTCGTTATTTTGAACTCTGTCACGCTAATGGAAGATCTTTGGTTTCAGGTCACAGCTGGAACACTTGACCAGCATGGTATCCCTGCCTTGTGTCCAAAAACAACATCGCTAATCAATTGTGGCATCTTTTATTCTGAGCCCAGATTAATCCTCAGAATCCATTTCAGCACAGGTTCTAGAGACTATCACAACCGACAGAACAAAGCAGGCTCATGAGATCAAACCTATTTGCCATCCCGGATGTCTTTTTCAGGGTGCAGAGTTGTCACACCCTCTGCAACGCCTGCTCAGGGACTGACTCCATCGTGATGTCTACAATCATTTGTGCTGTCTGCGCTTACGTTGAACTATATAGAAAGAAAATAATCATGATCTTCCTGACAACTTTTTCATATCATTACCTGTAAGGTATGTTTGCTCATGTATCTCTGTGATGCTCAAGAGATCAGCATTCTGTTGCTGGCAGCTCCTTCTCGCCTGGTGCCACGTTAAAGCAGATTTGGAGTTTATCTGGTAGGAAATGCTAGTCAATGGATCTTTTTTCCATAAGCTTTCGCTGCCTTCAACTGTAAAAGAAGTGAAATTGGCTGTTATGCCTAGAAAAGGCTTTCAGTGGACTATATTTTTTAAACAATCCTAGTAACGTGATTGACTAAAGCATTATATTTCCTTTCCTTCCTTTTCTCTTTTTCCTTTTACTTATTTTTAAAGTGCCTAGGAGATTTTCTTCACTCCTGAAATGAAGAGTTTTCAAAAGATCAACCACATCGAATCTCTTCCGTGTACCCAACGAAAGAAAAGGAGGCATGATCTCCTCATTTTTCCATTGGGGTGTTCGGGATCAGATAAGTTGGGGAGCGAAGTAATTACAAAGACTAAGAATAGATACCAGCCCAACTTCCTAATCTAGGAAAAAAATAAATAAAGTGAGACAAGAAAATAAATATATGTCTTCTCTCAGCAAGTGAATATTTTGTCTGCATATGCTAGTTTGCTTATTTGTTTGTTTGTTTTTCAGACCAAGACATATGCATAAGAGGAAATATCATGGACTCCTGGATCTGCATTCGGTGCTGTCACTCACTAGTGGTTTGATCTTAAATTGGTAACTTTTAGAATCTCACTTTTTCACCTCTAGAATATATTCAATATAAGTAGCCCCTGGCAATGGTAAACGCTGATTGCTAGTTTAAAACATAAATAATTTAGTTTATTTTTCTTTTGTGATTTTATGATCCTCAATACACTCTATAAACTCGGTTATACTCTATAAAAGGCCAATAGTATAGAGATAAATTTAATTTATAACTTTTTACATAGAAGATACTTGAGAAGTTAGTCAGCAAATGAATCTTAGTCTACTTCGTGTTATAAAAATTCCTCTTTTGTCATTTTAATAATGTAAAATTCTACTTACAAGTCATGTGAAGGAATAATCTTTTCATTTATTTGCAAGTAAGAGAGAGAGGATTATATAACTTCCCAAGTTTTCTGAGTGGTATTGAACGTGCTAAGAAATTGGCAATGTTCCAGAAGCATATAGCCAACATTGCTGTGATTCCTTTTATCTGACAAAGAAGCAACCTTTTTCATACACATACCACACACAATGATATGAAACTTGGCACACCGAAGAGTAAGAAAAATATATCAAAACTTTATTCAGGCAACAGCATAGATGTTTCTAAAATGTTTTAAGTTCAAAGTCAATACATATACTCATATAAAAATAAATTTGAATTAGTGATATTAACACTAAATTATCATGATCTGAGGCTTTACTAGTTTAGGTCCAAATGGATCCTTCCCCATTAGTGAGATCATTCAATTGAGATTGCATGAGGTTTATTTGAAAATGGAGATGTTATAAATAACTATTCTTAGAAATTTGGAAGTTTTGCTTATAATATGGTAAAAAAAAAAAAAAAAGTGAGCTAAGAAAAAAAAGAGGGGATTATTTTCCTGTTTAGAAATATAGGAAAAGGATATAAATGACCAAAAAAGGAAATATAATTTGACCCTTCTCTTCAGGTAAAGAAATTTTATTTTGCATTTTAAATCAAGGAATTAAGACCAATTTCTCAGTAAATGTTTAGGTTTGCTAATTATACATCTCCCCAAATGGTTTAAATACCCGTAGTAAACCAAATTAACTGACGTTGAAAGCTGAAGTTGCAAGCTATGGAAAATTGAAAGGAGTCTTTTCCTCTTCCTGTTACCATGATATTTGAAAATAAATGTGTAAATAGAAAGAGAACATTACAATAAATAATGTAAAGGACAGTAAAAAATTAAGTGTCACCAGGTCAATCACTAGTACCTCATTGCCCTGTATTGAATCTACTTGTTTGAGGCTAATATAAAATAAAATGTTATTTTGAAAGAAACACAAAGCAAGGAAAATGAAATAGACTGGAAAATTTCAAAGCCCTTTTAAAAAGGCACGAAATGTATAAGATGTGCTGTAGGTTGTTAATGCAAACTGAGCTCAAACATATTTTTTTAATTCTACTACAATTATTTTACATTTAATAGGAAAATATATATAATTTGATTTTGAAGACATAAACCAGAAGTAACAAGACTGAAAGATTATTCTAGAACATAGTCAATATACCCCTCCAACGCACATTTATCCTAGGTGGTGAGCTCTCTTTGTGACTAATGACTGGACATCTGCCCTCCATTTAATGATTTATTAAATCATACTAGCATCTGACAACTCCTTTGTCAACACCACTTAAGCACAGGACTCTATAGGTGGGCCCGTGAAATCTGTACCCCTAAGAAATTCCATGATAACAGATTTGAAAAACACCATTTCTACAAAGTAAAGGAGAAAGGCACTCCTCAATCACTGAAAAACAAGGATTGCTTTATCTTAAGGAAAACGTAGCTCAATGTTGACATCAGACAAAAAGATTTCTAATGCAGAGATCAGACTTCTATCAACTTTTCATGGAAATCAAACCTTTAAAGGCTGCTACTAAGAGCGAAGAACACATTTACCTCATCCAAGAGTGGCAGAATGGTGTCACTAAGGATGGGAAGCGGGTGAGTTTTTGCGGGTCTTCACCCAGAACAGAAGGATCGCACACAGAAGAGAATGACGATATATAAGGATGACGAATCAAATTTATTTTCAGTGGGATGTTTAGGGATTATAAATCAAGACAGGTAAACAAGCACGATTTTTGGAACTCTGGCTTTTCCTTCTCAAACTAACATAGTTTTGTAAAATGGACTGTTTTACAATAACGCTTGAAATAATGTGATCGTGTGTGGCTGCGAGTTATGAAAGCTGAGTTAGGAGTAACACAGTTGCAACCGCATGGCCTCTGAACCATCCCAGATCGCAGCCTGATGCTCTTCCTCTGTAACTGCCCCTTTGCAGGGCAGCAGTAGAGAATCTTGAGTAATAGCAGAAAACAGAAGCTGCTCTGATCTATAAAAACTGACGCGGCAAGAGGCCTGGAGGTAAGAACTTTAGGAGGAAGCACTAGAAATGGGT